TCCCCACCCGACCAACCGCGACCGCTGCAGAAGCCTCTGCCACCGCCTGTTCGGCCGGCCACCGCTTTTATAGGGTTTGTAAACCCCGCCCCCGCCCTCCCGGCATTGGCCGATTCAAATAGCTCTCTGCGTACCTATTGGTTCCCCGGAGTGCCAAGCATCGTACTGCCTCACGATGGGCTGTGGTGGGCCAGGCTCAACCTAAGCCCGCCCGCTTCCTGGTCAGGGATGGTCTGGAGAACTGCCCCCTCCCCCACCCTCAAATCTCGGAGATGATTGGACAAAGGACAAACCTGCCCCATGCTTGGTACGAGCAATGCTCGCTGTCACTAAAAAGTTACCTGACAGGAGAAAGCTCGCTCCGGTAAGTCGGAGCCCACGGTGCAGGGCAGATTTGTCGTTACCACGCACTTACTTGCCTTACTTATTGTGGGACAGTGAGGGCATGCTCCTTAAGGGATGAAAAGGACTATTCTAAATTGACATTTGAGTGCCTACTGTGTATCTCCTGTGAAAACCTGACAGTCCAAGGCAGCAACATTGAGTCAGCGACAGAAAGCACGCCAAGATGATCCCTTTTAAAACGACTGGAAATTCTTTACATTTTAATGTTAATATTTAGCTGTCATGGGCGGTGCATGCACTAGACCAAAATTATAGCCGTGATTTGAAGGTCTGTTCTAACGCTGTTAATGCCTGGTGGCTGGGAATGGCCACATCCTTTGCTATCAAGACTATTCCAGAGCTCTGCAGCTGTTTATACCCTTAAGTCATGGCTCTTCCACCTGTCTGGGTAAATCTATCCCTGCAACAAATGCAGACACACTTGGAGGGCTCAGGAATGACTGCTTACAAAATCATAATAGGAAAGCATGCATGTTTCCTCAAGGCAGATCTTGTTCAGTATGTCCATAAAATTGAACTACTTTCCTCTTTGCATAGCCCCCTCCCCCCAGTCAGTTAGAAGTTTGTATTATTGGCTAACCGCTCATCTGGGCTTTCATGAAAAGCCAGAGATAAGTTCTTCTCTTCTAGAAAGGCATGGATTTTTGTGCTTACCACAAACTCGAAGCACACCACTTGTTTGGATTAAAATATTTCCATTCTTAAAGGCTGGGCCTAAACTTCCAAAACTTTAATAATGATAATAATAATAGCTAAAAAACAAAAAACCACTTTCATATCCATCTAGCCAGTGAGCATGCAAGCCCTCCTCAAAAATCATGTAATTCCTGCCCTGGCTGGTGTGCTTTTGGTTCAATTGGTTGGAGTTGTTACAGGCTCCATCCCAGGTTAGGGCAGGAGGCAGCTGATAGATGGATGTTTCTCACATCAATGTTTCTCTCTCTAACAAAATAAAAATCATGTTAAGTACAGACTAGGAGTTAGAGGAGCATGTTGGTTGCTGGCTCAGGCTCTCATAGGAGAAATCTGGGTTTTAATCTCAACTCTTAACTTTTCTGAGCACGTTTCCTCATTCATAAGGATAAAATAGTATCTGGACTCCAGAGTTGAGGACTGAATTAAGTAATGATGTAAACTGCTTGGCCTGACATATAAGAAGTCATCAAAGTGATAGTCATTTTTATTGACTTACTTGGAAAATAATCACATACTTTCTAATGATCTGAAATTTTTTGTATGTGAAATGAGGGGTTTGTAGCTGGCTCTTAGGGTCCCTTTTAACCTACATTTTTGAATTTGTACTTGACTTGCCTTACTTCCTCCATCCCCTGTAGTCTAGTAGAAGACAGGTTGCTGTGATAATACAGCACTGGGCTGGCAATCGAAAAGCCTAGATTCTGGGTCCGCTCCCTCTCAATATAACACTCCTAAGTACACTGATGCTCTCGAGCCCAGTTTCATCTAGAGAATGGGGTTTGGAATTTTAAGAATGTTGTACTTAGGAAATGAAAGCTCTCTCATAGAGGTGCCTCACACTGGCTACACATCAGAATAACCTATGAGCTTTTAAGAAATACAAATGAATGCCAGGCCCCATCCAACATCAACTAAATTGAAATTTCTGGGTGTCGGATTCAGTCATGGATATCTTTAAGAAGTTAAACAAGTAATTCTCATATATAGCTTGGGCTGAGAACCTCTGCTTCAAGGATAAAACATAAATCCCAGGAAAACCCTTTTACTCTCCTCTGATTTATTAAGAAGAGTAAATTTATGTAAAACAGACATCAGATTAAGGCCATTTTAGGCAAGCCTGTTTGGCAGTCTACCTACCTTTTTGTACAACCCCAGGGTTCCAATTTTAAATACCACTGCCATAAATCCTACATAATAAAAGGCTAATATGCAAATTGTCCCCTCAACCAGGAGTTCAACCAGGG